CGCTCTTCGAATTCTACAAAGTTATGCCATATACACTGCGTTTCATAAATATAGGTCCACCCTAAATTTTTGCTATTCCAAAGTTGCTGCGCATTTTTGGGAAATGCCGCTATTACCAATAGTTTCCCCATAAGGAAAAACCTTGATACTCGATTTTTGGAGAAATCTTGATTAAGAATAATTAAAATATCTTTTTTAGAGCGTATTTTCACCGTTTCGCGAATATGACTACAGATCACTTTTCGAGAGATTTTATTATAGCAAAAAAACGTCACAAATTTTCAACAATGGGATGGTCCTCCCATAGTCATAAGGAACACAATAATACGTTTTGGAATGCTGGTAATCCAAATTAGCTATTACAGTAGGATCGAAATTTGTCTGTGCGCCGATGATCGACGTTTTCAGCTCTTCGGCTGTTCCATTTTGCTTTTCTCTTGCTGTGGAACTTTATAGCAATTAAGGCCTTATGATTCTCTATTGGAATCTGATTCAGCTAACATGTTGGCCACCAGGTAACTGCCATATTTTTTCCCACAATTCCATCTGGCGTGGAAGGACCGGCATGGACAGCCGCGTTATCGTGCGTAAAAATCAAGGTTCGAGGGAGCTGTTGTCGGAAAGATGGTAACAGTCGCTTCAGAAGAACTTCACGATACCCTATGGAATCCTCTTGAAAGGAAACAAACACGAGCTCTAGCCGCTCAGTCGTTCAAAAGAGCCTCAATCCATAAGGGATTCTTCGCCAAAATTACCTTACATCAAAACCATCTACGATTTCCACGGAACCCTCCCGTACGCTTTTTTTCTATCAGATCCACCTAGAATAAACTTTTTCACGTCGATCTCAGATCACCTGTAGCACGAAACAAGGAGCTAGAGTCCAAGATCGCGAAGGGTCTGAACAGCCACACCTTCGTTCATAAAGTTGAGCCCTTTTCCACGCTGAAATGGAGACGTGCGATCTTGAAGCGCTCAAATAATCTTGGAACGCTCTTCATCAATCCGCTGAAGATGTATTGCTTCGCTGACGTACACACCACACGGTGGTTTTGCTCACGGAAGGCCGTATTTCAGCACGAACTTTGTTCGGACCCCTTACACAATTCGAGAGAAAACGCCCAGTTCCTCCTAAATCTTGAAGGAAACGCGGTCTTCATTTACCTAAGCTACTCTTCTCCCCGCACTGACCAGGATTTCGCACTTAGTTGCTTAGGTCGTAGGAGCCGGCCGGCTTGGGAGGAAATTTTGCTCCTTTGCCATCCCACTTCAGTAAGTGCTCTGGCTTGAGCTTGTTACTGGGAAGAGAGGCGAGTAACACGAGGTACGGTAAACTCGATGTCGACTGAGCTCAGATATATCCCCGCTTCCCTTATTTCCTTCACTGATCACGAGAAATGGGAACTTTTTATGAGTAGCCCGATATTCACGAAACGGTGAAAATTCGTTCAGAAAAAGTTAATTGGGTTACTTGAGGGAGGAACTTTGTCAGAAAAACACTGTGAGGGTTTTCCATGACGAGGAATCTAATGGTGATAGCAGCATTTCCAAAAAATGCACAGCAACTTTGGAGTAGCAAAAATTTAGGGTGGACCTATAATTATGAAACGCAGTGTATATAATATTTACAACAAGGAGAATAAGGTACCAATTATTATCCAGCCATCTGCTATTGATTTCAACGATTTTATTTAACTAGGAACTGAACAATGTTGAAAAAAATTTTCAAAATAAGGGACTGCACTGAAATGAAATCTCGGATGGACAAGAAAACTAAACATTTTTTGGCACTACCGATAGATGCGGGCTACTGTGGTGGCATTGTGCGAACAACGGTGGGCATTTCCTTCCAGTGCAAAAACAGTGAATGCGGCCTGGGATGACGAATGAGACGATGATTTAGGGTGTCGGAGAGCAATTCATTCCCCCGAAGCTTGCCTTGCTTCTGCCTCCTAAGCTTGTCTAAAAGTTTCGTCTCCTTATGCGAGTGACCATTTTCTCACTGTTTGAAAAAAAAACAGAGGTGCTGCTAGTGGTATAGGGAAGCAAGAAGTCACAGTATATTTCAACCACCCTGATCACAGACAATGATCGAAACCCTATGTGGAGTCGATGACTGGGGCAGCTCTTGACGAGAAAATTGATGGTATTAGGTTGGAAAGAAAGTTCTGCAACACTCTTTCTAAAATTTTCTTTTTTTCTGAAAAATTCATAGGTAACATTTATGACTAACCAAATGGTAGAGCATTCTCGAGGCTTCAATCCACGAGGTGGATATAAGTGCTGCAGTCAGTAGTTATCCAAGAAAATTCAAAAAACCTCGACCACTAGTAAATCCATACTCCGAGTCACTGTCTAGTACAAATGTCTACAAAACTATGGATTCGTGTCAACGACTGACACTATCTGCAATAGCTTCTAATAGGCATGTCGTTCACCGCTACAGCGTGTTTCACCTTTACCAGCGCTTCCGATCTTTTGATATTTTTATAAGAAGCCAGCAGCGTCCCTCACACTCCATTACAGGTAGGGCTCTTACAGAAGCTCCACTACAAATTCTTCGTTATGGGCACCATTGTGTAGGTAGAGGTCTAGGCTGCGGAACTCCAGAAGCTGGCCGAGGCAGCTCGTCAGAAGCCCTCGCACTGCGACAACATTTATCTCTTTCATGACATTGCGAGTCACTATGATTTGAAATGAGACCGGTAAGAAATTCTAGAGCTGCGGCAACACTTCTTACCTTCTCTTAGCGTATCCCCCTGGTCGAGCTATGAATGGCCGCCACCTATCTTAGACCTTAAATCATCATCTTGATGAAGAACTAATGAGTCGATCAACTCTAACTCGAAAGTGAGGTTGCCTCCTTTCTCGACCCACACCACGCTGGGTTGGCAAAGGGGGCATATCCAAAAAAATTGTCTGAGCGGTGAATAGTGTGCAGGGTTTCTTTCAACCTAATATATTGAATCGCTAAAGGAAAATCAACATTCACTCCGACATTGAAATTTGGAGGTGGATCTTTATTGTTGACCATTTCGTTACTTATAAGCACAGGGTTGCTAGATAACTAAGCGCAGTTGTGTGTCGGGTTAGACCACAATGTCGCATCATGAAAACCAAAAAAAAAAACTCACAAACTGTGAAGTTCTGGCACTGCGCTCTTGGGACACATGGAGCCGTCACGTCGTTTCTGCTTTTCACATAGCCCGGAGCACAGTGACAACCGGCATTGCAAGTCGATGAGCAGTGTGGGACCTGCAAAAAAAGAATGGCGGAGTTGATTTTGTAGGGTTAAAGATGTAGCAAAGGTTAATAAAGGAAAAAGAATATATAATTGACTTTGCAATCCCTATTAGAAAGCAATGGGCATTGATGTCTGGTCAAAACCTAAAAATAAAAACAGAAAGATCAAAAACACAGGGAGATTTGGCAGTTGCAACTGTTACGCAAGCGATCATTAAAAGGGTGTCGGAGCGATGCATAAAAGGCATGATTCTTCCAACTTTTGAGCCAACTGTCGAAGTACCAACGAAATATAAGAAAAAGTATGAAGTGAAGTCATGAAACATCACATAAGTAGAAAACATATACAGGCAGCTTCGAAATCAGTTTTTTTTTTTTGCACTTTTTAACCTTATGGGAAAAGACGTGGATGAGAACAAGTGAGAGCAGAGTACAACTTCTTCTAACACAGTAGCGACTTTTGTGTTTCGAAATCAAAACAAAAGAAAATCACATACCCCTGGCTGCCCACAGTATTCCGGACAAAGACTACCACACGCCGACCAAACAGCGTTCGGATCTGGGCATGTGCATCGCTGGGGATTCACTGCCAGTGATGCGATCACTGGACTGCAACAACGCTGAAACAATATAATACTCTTGAGAGATTTCGAGCGAAAGATGGCCCAGGAAAGTTTTCCAAATTTTTTCGAAGCGCATGCTCAGTACCTGTTCTGCTGGACAATCCGCATCTGTGGCACAGGATCTTCCACCAACATCCACCGTTACTGAAGGGCATTGTGAGGAGACTTCTGAAGCATTCACAAATCCATGCACTTTTAAGATATTATATTCTCAGTGGTCAGTGATAGTACACCAATAGAATCACTAAGTCACTATTATTTTACACTATTCCGACGCCATCCATTTCGCTTTTAGTGTCCGCGACGCGATTGCCACCGTCTCACCTCATACCCATGGACTTTGTGTAGTAAATGAACAAAAACAAATAGCTCAGAGTAATTTTAGTAACATTTGTGAGACCGTAATTATTGTGATACTGCAAAAATTACGACCAACTGTTGGCAGGCGATTATGAGCTGGCAGGCCACAACTACACTGCGTCTCCTAATTATACAGCCACCTAGAAATTGTTCAAAATCTCGAATTCCACAAAGTTTCTGGAAAAATGTCCAACAGGAAAACTGTGTCAAATTTGGTCGCGAATTCGAAAATCAACACAAAATTCCAGGTTGGAAATGCGGAAAAATTTTATTCTAATTTTTTCCGGATAGGGTCGCTTTTCCAACGTCTCCAAATGATACAGCCACCCCGTGTTTTTTCGTTGTATTTCATTTTTGCTTGATGAAATTTGATGGTAGTTATCAATTTCTCTTTTCTAGGTCATCACGAAAGGAAAGCAGTTGTTGGATTCCCAAAAAGGGCAAATGGTCGCAGAAAAAAAAGAAAGAGTAAGCGCCAGTGGTCACATTGCGCGGAACTTTGTCGAAGTCACGGGATGATAAACAATTTCTTCCAGCATATCCGAAGGAAATAAAGCTGGAAAGGGCTCTGAAAGCTCCTCTTTGCTTTTTGATCAAGATTAATGCGGAATTATGAAAATAACACCCAATTTCATCAAGCCGTGCTCGTAATTAGAGGCCTCTTTCGAACTTAATCTCCTACTGCATAGTGCTTGGTAAGTAGTGAAGAACTTCCAAGTTCGCTCTTAAGCGGAAAGTGAAAATGGCAGTGTTTTTGGAAAGAAACCTTGACAAAAACCGGGACATTTTTCCGTGGAAAGAGTAGCCAAGCCAAAGTTGGCTTGGCTGGCTGTATCATTAGGAGACGCACTGATAATGCACACTGGCGTGAATGTGTTAATCAATCAATTTTGGAACGTATCTTGTCTACGTATTAACCCCTCCACCTGAATAATGTCTGTAAATAGGTACCATCAATGAGTACCAGTGTGTGTTCTTACAGGAGTCGAAGGGAGGAAGGGTAGCAACAACCAATTCCGTTGAGTGAGTTATCGCGTATCCCCTTTGAACGTTTGGGAAAATTGGATACGTACTCGCAGTTTACGGTTCTAACGAACTGATTCGACTGGATGGGGCAATCTAGTATTCGATACTCTTGGTCAGATTCATTTGGTCCTGATGGAGTTGACTGCGACCGGATTGTTCGAGTATACTCGAAACCTACTGTTCTGCATGAATGGCGAGTTTATGAATGGGTTTGTTGATAAATCAGTCTTTTGAGAGAGTCCAGTTGAAATTTCAACACTGCAGAGCCACACGTTCAGAAACTTTGTGACTGGTAGCATTTACGGAAATGGAATTGATTTAGTAGGTCGATCGCTTCAAATGATTGATACGAAAGGGTCAGCGCAGCTGAAATTGGTATTTTCGTTACCTCTAGGCTGCCCATACCTAGCACGCAACAACGGTTATCCAGCCTACTGGGACAAGCTGAACATCTACCATTTTAAAGAAATCGAATGGTATGATCGATTTTGCAAAAATTCTATCTCACGAAGGAATTGGTTTATTGTCAGTCCAGCCGTGGTGGAAAGGAGAGCTGTTAGTTCAGTGGAGCGTTTATGGCGCTTTGAGCCTTAAACTCCGTATTTCGTTATCTGTACGGAAAGCTTTCTCTGAGGAAGGTAGAGGGTATCTTTTTGTGGCTTCTCACGGCTGGGACCTATACTCTCCCTAGATCTTCTCTATTTTCCTGTGACAGCTGGAAAGAGCTGTTTTTGTTGCGATTCATATCAAAATTATGAGCTTGTGTTCTTGTTTTGTGTTTCCGTGTATCAAAGGTTCATCATAATAGGAAACCTAAAAAGAAGGACGAGAAGGAAATTCCAGAGTTTGCCTCAGCCATATATCAAGTGAGTTATGCAGAAGTTAACAAAACATCTTACACATACTATAAAGCGCTTCGTCTGTCGTTCTGTCCCTCTGTCGTTCTGTCCCTCTGTCGTTCTGTCCCTCTGTCGTTCTGTCCCTCTGTCGTTCTGTATGTCTGTCACGAAATTCCCTAGCTCCTCGGGATCCGCCTGGAGGGACCGGGTCAAGTGTGGGGGTGGGCAGGGTCTCACGTAATACAAAACACACATCAGCTAAGCGGAGCCCCGCCCACAGAGGGCGTGGCGTGCGTCGAAATGAATTGTACCAAAGACCAAGATTTCGATTTCAGTGAAAAAACGACCTCGAAACTGGGCCAAAAAGTGGGTAAGGTGTGCATTGGTAAGTCACATCGAATTAGGGAGACCCACCCCCGGTGGGCGGGGCGTTCTCTCAAAAAAGCAGTGCTTTATGAAAAATTTCATAACTCGGTTGGGAGAAAGCCTACAGAGCAGAAAACAATTTGGTGTAAGGGAGCAATGTCTAAGGTGTTTCCTGCATACATGACGTGGGCGGAGGCCCGCCCAGAATGGGCGGGGCGCGCTCTGAAGTGTACAGCATTTTCTACAAGCCCTCATAATTCGGGTCGGGGAAGTCCTAAAGAGCCGGAAAAAGGTGGATAGAGGTGGGGAGGAGTGGAGGCCAACTGTCAATGGTGGGCGGGGCTGACCAAAGTGGGCGGAGTTTGCGACGAAAATTTATAACTCGGCTCCATGAAGCTCCGGAGGCTGGGGAAAAGGTGGATAGAGGTGGGTGGAGGAGTGGAGGTTAATTGTCATTGGTGGGCGGGGCCTGACCAAAGTGGGCGGAGTTTGCGACGAAAATATATAACTCGGCTCCAGAAGGTCCCGGAGAGTGGGGAAAAAAGAAGATATAGTTGGGTGGGAAAGTGGAGGTCAAAGGCCAGTGGTAGGCGGGGCTTGGCCAAAGTGGGCGGAGTTTGCGACGAAAATTCATAACTCGGCCCCAAGAAGTCCAGGAGGCTGGGAAAAAGGGAGTAGAGGTCGGCGAAGGAAAGGAGGTCAAATGCTATTAGTGGGTAGAGCACGCACCCAAGTGGGCGGAGTTTGCCAAAAGTATCGCAATTCGGTTGCAAGAGGTCCTAGAGATAGGGGAAAACGGGGTTAGAGGTTGGTGAGGGAAAAGAGCTCAACTGCTATCACTGGGTAGAGCACGCACCTAAGTGGGCGGAGTTTGCCAAAAGTGTCGTAATTTGGTTCCAAGAGGTCCCAGAGACCGGTGAAAAAGGGGGTAGAGGTCGGCGAAAAGAAGGGAGCCAAATGCTATTGGTCGGCAGGGCACGCACCGAAGTAGACGGAGTTCGCCACGAGATTTATTGTCCGGGCCGAGGACCGAGAAAAATAGGATAATGGTTGACGAAGAAAGAGCGCATAGAATTTAGCGGAGAATTCAGATATTCGTATTGTATCAAGCCAAATTTGAAAATTTTTCGTCGCACCATCAAAATTCGCCACAGATCTGTGTTGCGCGCGCAATGCGTGCGGCGCCAACTGGTAATATAATACTTTGGGTATCTTTTCAATTTTTTTTTTAATTCTAGGAAGTGCTTGCTCACCTAAACATGCATCTCTGATACATACCAACTGTTGCCCATACATGGCAGGACGCTCGCGCCAGTGCTTTGAATCAGCTGCGCACCCGAGTGGCAACGTGATTACTGTGAAACGATCAAGGGGCGACAGCGAAATTTGTTTCTTGTGACCTTGACATATATCGCTCTCGAGAACGTCATGCATCAGTTGGAATGGGAAGAAATGGGAGTGTTACTGGATCTAGTAAGTGTGTGGAGATTTTTAGTCTCCGGGATTAATTCGATTAACTACGACTTCATCCTTTTAGGCCGAAATGAAGCGGCGAATCGCGAAACGTTAAGCCAATACACTGTCTTCGTTTTACTTTGACTGACCATCGTTTTGTGACCGGCCATCACGATATGCTCCAAGCTACGTGCACCTGAGGTCGGTGGAAACAACATGATGAACGATCTAGCTCCAGAGCTGAGCAGGAGGAAACGAGCGGCTTGGGGAGCGTATAAGAACATCGAGGGAGTAGTGAAGAAGACGAAGAACATCCGGCTCCGTGCCCACCTCTTCGATTCCGCTGTCCTTCCTGCCCTAACCTACGCCTCAGAGACTTGGACTCTGCGCAGGCAGGACGAGCATGCGGTCAGCGTTATCCAAGAAAGGACGACCTGGGAGTAACCCTATACACGGAAGTCCGGAGTGTCCGAAACTACGCCAACGATCGAAGATCAGGGACGCTGCCGTTTTCGCCAAGGAATCGAAGATAAGGTGGGCCGGACACGTCATGCGATTTTGCGATGACCGTTGGACCAGAGCGGTTACCGACTGGATCCCTCGGGACGTCAAACGAACACCTGGACGACCGCCCGATGGTCAGACTTCTTCACGAAAGCTCTGAACGAAAGGAATGAGCTTCTGTCCCAAGCGAGGATTGATTTCCACTGGAACTATGCACAGGGACATATAGAGACGTGCTGACACCTCTCCAGGAGGCTTGGGTTGTAATCAACGCGTACGAACAGGTAGCAGTGTGATTTCTGGTCCAATATAAACACTTTCTGGGTCGTGATGTAAGCCAGAAAAATGCAAAATTTTGCGGTTTCAAGATCTACCTCGTGACCTTCTTCCATTTATGAGATCTTGTTGGGAGATAACTGACTAGACCGCTTGGATTAACAACATAAATTGCTTTTGGCTCTTAGGTTGAACCGTGGGGCGGTAGGCGATGGAAAAGGGGTTACACGAGAAAGCCACAGTGAGAAGAATCCCTCGTAACTTTTTTCAGAGAATCGTTCGATAACGATAACGAAAAAACAGGATTTGAGCTCAGCGTCGCAAGACGCGTCCATCGGACTACATCCTCATTATAAAATGGCCGGACCGACCATTTTGAGCATTCCTTGTCAGAGGAACCACGAGAGAGTCATGTGTGGCCCACACCTACTATTCATCAGTAATTAAATGAATAAGATTAGCTTGTATGAACAGTCCTTTCGTCGGGTGTTTGTGATCGGAAACAGTTGTAATCGACTCTGTCGTTGTCGGTTCAGATTCTTTTCTTGAGTGAAATCAGGACATTCATCGAATCGCACGCAGTCCGAATTCCTCCAATCTGTTGAGTTCAAAACACCAGGCCTGAACAATTTATTTTCTCGTTCGTAATAACTTCGTATAGCTCCCACCAGGCGCTCGAATACTGGAAGACGTTAACTTGCGCAGTGCCATACATTTACCATTATTTACAAAGGTCATCTGATTCGCAAGGTGTTACAGCATTCTGTGGGGGCGATCATGTCTGCAGCCAACTGGACATGTAGGAAGCGCCACGAGACATTCCTCGATGTGCAGGTCGATGATCACCGTAGAAAGAGGAAAAGACGTCCAAACACCGTGTTGTAAAATTTCAAGCCCATGTACGTTCAACATCTTGCTCTATAAAGGCAACAAATTCAGGTTCAGAAAAACTGACAATGAACTTTATCTGTGGTCTTAGACGGCGCTAGGTACGCGATTGTGTAGAGATCGCGTTTATTTCTCCTACGTCGCAACAGCGTTTGAAATTTATTGAAAAAGTTCAATATTAAACCTATAAAAAAGTAGCTCCAGAATCGGGCAGTAAAATCTGACGCGCATGGCCTATTGCTGTCGTCAACGTGTTAAGTATGAGTTTCCGCTAAAGGGATGCTTGAATGCTAGAATGCTTTTTAAGAGCAGCTTGCTGTCTTCAGATGTTTAAATGTGAATTTTTTTCATGCTGTTGACTAGTGCAATGATGCAACTTGTTGGCGAAGGAAAACCTAGATTCAACCCCATCCACGGACTTCGAAGTGAAAAACGGGAATTTGTTGTTACCGAATTCCTTCTTGGTTTTGTTAAAAGAGATATCTACCTGTAGTTTACAAATCGCACTAACAGCACTGGTTCGAGCACATGACTGCCTCAACAATTTTTGCACTGAAACTCTATCTTCCAAACCTTTTTGGGATATTTTTAACCGTGCTTTTTCAATTTCTGGCGAGGCACGTTCAACGCAACTTTACGATTATCGGATTGTATTAGGCTGGAAAGAAAGTCCTGCCAAAACATTCCTAATGATCTGATCTTTAATTTTATTTTTTTGTTCAACTCCCGCGGTCACATATCTTACCATAAGTGTCACATGTCTTTCAAATGTCCTAGAAAATTTCTTAATGCTCCTTCTTCAAAACCCAGCGGAAGTTGCGGGGATCGAGAAAGGAGGCGACCTCACTTTCGAGTTGGAGTTGATCGTCTAATTATTTCGTCATCAAGATGATGATTTAAGGTCCAGAATAGGTGGCGTCATTTATAGCTCGACCAGGGGAATACGCTAAGGAGGAAGCAAATCTTGCCGCAGCTCCAGAATTTCTTACCGGACTCATTCCGGATTATGGTAATTCGCAATGTCATGGAAGAATTAAAGTGTCGCGTGAAAAGCTGCCTCGGTAGGCTTCTGGGAAAAGCAGTCTAGACCTTAACTTCACAATGGTACCATAACGGAAAATTTGCAGTGGAGCATTCCGTAAGAGCGCCTATAAACACGCTGTAGCGGTGAACGATGCCTATTGAAGCTATTGCAGATAGTGTCGGTCGTTGACACGAATCCATAGTTATGGAGACATTTGTACTAGACAGTGACTCGGAGTATGGATTTACTAGTGGTTGAGGTTTTTTGAATTTTTAGAAAGAGTGTTGCAGAACTTTCTTTCCAGCCTAATACAAGTGCGCTCCAGCATTCGAATACTCCCTCTCCCCTCTCGTTAATCTCGCGCAGTCTCGCGGCCCGCGGTTCTTGGTAGCGCAACACGTTTGCCCATCGCTGTCGGACATCGTCGCAGGTCCTACAAATGCTAGGTACATCTTCCCATTGAGCGCTTTGGAATATCTTCCATCCAGAAGACCAGATTTCAAATATGCAGCGACGATTGCCTTCACCGCCTGATTCCACGACCGTCAGCAACCAGGTCGTTCCTCAGGTATCGTAAGTCCTACGTTCTTTCATACCGTCCCCATGGCTGTTCACGATCGGCTCTCATCCGAGCTCAAGAACTTGGTCTCGTTCATGTTTAGCCAGAGCCCTCATGCTGCCAGCACATTCTGCCATTTTCGCATCTTGTTCTGATGTCTGCTATAAGGGCGACCTCGTCAGCGCAGACGACGGTCCTCAGTAGTCCCTCCATTAGTTCCTGTTCCTTCACCGCGACATCTTCAGGGCGGCCACAAATTACGGTAACAAGAGCAGCAGCGTGAATGTTTATAATCAAAATGAGATAGTTCCGTTTGTAGGCTATGGAGCACCGAACACCTCTCAAGAAAAACGCCCACGAGCGTGGAAAAGTCCTATTTCTAAATCCTGCTCTGGATGAATTTGCCGTTTACCACTAACACGCCGCAGTGGATGAGTTGCACGGACTACTTCGCTCCTTTGTCTATGTCAACATCAGCCAATTTGGGAAGTAACCCTGTTTTTTTTTTTGTTTCTTAACCTTCAATTAATATAGCTATGTTTTCCGATTATCATTTACATGCTGTATAGATTTTCTGTGATCACTTTATCCTTGTTACCGTAATTTGTGGCCACCCAATAGTGTTCGGAGGTGTTCCAGTATTAGGCTACACAGACATTTTCTGGAAACACCAAAAAATCCGAGGAGCACTTATGTCAACATAGGAAGAAAAAGACGCTAATTCTTCTAGAGACAACGAGAACAAGATCAGAAACGAAGATAGTTGACCTCTGAGCCTGTTGCATCGCTGTGGCAACAAGGATGTTGGAATGGAAAGAAGTGAGATACCCACTATGCAATAGCACATGCGGTCAATACATATAAAACTTCACCAACTATCAGTAGGAACAAATAGATGAGCATGTAGCACTACGTCAATCACACACACACACTTCGAAATGATCGAAAATATCACCCTGTCCTCACAGCATAATAGTGAGTTATTTACTTGTTTATTTATTTATTCATCTACCTGGAGCACTTCATCACCGCTAATCCCACTTCCCTGCTAAAGGAGAGTATTTTGACTGGGAAGAAGCAATTACGCAAGAATGCAGTCAAAGCGCATCTCTACGGCGAAACATTTTCGGTGGGTGATGAGTGCACGGCACATCCCGAGTTCTCATTATCCAAAGCCATTTCAATTACTTAGCATTACCAAAAATTGCGCACTCGAAAAATTTGTTATAAACTGCACAAAGCTATAGTGAATGCTTAGGTGATGCAGTACACATTCTTTCCCATACCTCTTATGCTGACCTGGTTACTTGGTATATTGCACGTATTAAGGTTGAAATTTGAAAAATAATTCAAACCTTGAGTGGATCACTGCACTTTCGTTCGCATTCTGATGGCAGAACACACCGCGTTGATGGATCCATTGGGTCCTGAAATAATCCCTGGCATTTTCTATTCCAATTGAATCCGTGCCAAGACCTGCGAAAGTAGAACACTGATTGCTCTAGCGTTTAGAAGATTCGCCACCTGTTTTTAAGCGGAACCTTTGTTCATTACAACAAGAGCAGTGCGAGTATGTGGCACTCACGCCTTTTATTGGGTTGCCCCAATAAGGAGAGAAAAGAGTGTATAAATCATATAAAACACGTTGTAGTACGCGATAAACCAGTGAGTGATACGGCGCGCTGCAGCAGACGGGTACTAATACGTGGCCGCGAAGCAATGCATATTTCGCTCCGTTCCGATGTCGTAATATAACACGATGCCGGAATATCTCAGTTTCATGGAGCGTAAAGCGACTAGCCCGTTCCACACTTGATAAAGCCATCTGGCTGTTTGAGTACTTTCACGGACTGCACATTTTATACGCAAACGTAGAACAATGCCTCTTGTTCGGTGGTGCGCCACGCATCTGACTTTGACTCAAAACATAAATACATCGCGTGAAAATGAATTTTCCTGCCACTAGTCCGGGCGCTTCCCATCATCCATCTGCGTGGAAGTAGCTGTACTACACACCAACCCTGGCAAAGGACGGAACCGGCCAAGCCAATCCCGAAAAATCAGCAGCTAAATCCGCCTCTTTGTTTCAATTTTCTGGTGAAGCTTGGAAGGTAGCAATGTTCGCGCAAACGAGAAGAATGTAGCAGTCTTCGGCACTTAATAGTAGCACGTTTGGCAGGCGCTCATTGTCGGAGATTATCCGATGAATATATGCCCTCTCCCAGCTTCTTTTGCCTACTGACAAGGAATGGTCAATTGGAGAATCGCTCGGCAAAAACCGAAAGCAGATTTGAGCTCAGCGTCAAGGCGCGTGCATCAGACTACACCTCATTACAATTGCCCGGACCGACCAATTGACATTCTTTCGTGAGATTTTTTAAATTCTGATGCAATCATGATCCGTCACGGTAAAGAAGCAGAAATGCAAATAAACATTTCTTTCGAAAACGAAATGAATATGGCGGGGAACAGAGATTTAATCACATCACAGAATTTGTTACTAGCGAAAAAAACGGGAATGGCGGTAAGGTTGGATGGGTGATGAAGACTTCGAGGGTGGACGGAGGGAGTTTTATCATTGTGCGAATATTCGACATTACGCAAGCAATTTATGATGAAAGAAAACAAATAACACGCCCAAAATTTTGAAATCATGAATTCCACCGTGACAGTTCAATATGCGCGTTGCAAAATAAATAAGAAAGCTTGGCATACTGACAATTCTAAGATAATCCCTATCTTCTGCAGATTCCTATCTACATATATGTGCTACAAATTTTCCCAAAGTAGATCTCAAGATGGTGCTGAATTTTCCCCGCACTAAATGCGTCTCGAAACAAATTCACGGAAAAGTTACTGATAACATCTCCAGCGAGTGTGCACCTATATCCTGCTGACCAAAAGCTTCTACGGCTCCTCCTTGATAACGAAAGGACTTCCAAGAAAACTCATAAATCCGAGAAATAACATCCTAACCTTTATTAGGTAAATACTAAGAAAAATCTGAACGGGTCATTCAGTAGCATTCTGCGACGCTCCGCTTTAATTATTAGCAAAAAATATGCGGGTGAGACCAACTTGAACGTGGCTGTCACCACGAAAAAGAGTATACTTTGCGAATCCAAAAATTCCCTGTACACACCATATAGGAAAAAGCATATGCTAATACCCAGATCAGCCCCGATTCGCCAATAGCTATGAACGATAATTCAAAAGAATATAGCAGAAGTTGCTCGGTATGTAGTGGAAGCGCTTCTGTTGTGATGAATGAGCACTTTTGGGAACGAGCAACTACTCTGTTTTGAGACATTACATTCTGTAGCAGTTGAGTTACAGCAACGTTATAATCACAACAAATAAAAATTGTAATAATACATTTTCTCCCAAAGCCTAGAGAAACTACTTCTTGTGAAGATTTGAAGCTAGCCATTGCTTGGAGGTACGAGTTGCGACCACATCAGTGTGTTATTTGGTGCTCAAAAAAAGCAAAAAGCCCTGTACAGAGCCACTGAATTTCTACTGCGTGGTCAAAGGTCAATCATTTCATGATGGAGAGGTATAGCGCTGCGAGAAGGAAGTGCGAGATAGCGCAGGGTGTACATGAGGGTGCAGACCCCACGTTTGCAGCGCATGAGCGGTCGGCGCGGCCAAGCAAAGACCACAGCTCCCTTCCACACACTTCCAGATAGTTCCTGCAATTAAGGGTTCTGCTACCTTTTCTGGCAGGAAAAATTCTCTAGGATCTAATCGAAAAACCCGGAAAAAAAGCATGATTTCAAACAACAAGACCATTCTGGACAGAATTTTCTGAACAAGGTGAGACAACGGCTTACCTGAAGCACGTACGGTTCACGGCAAACACAACCTGCTGAACAAAGACCAGCGTCACATCGTCCCAGAGGGTTTGTGCACGATCGAGCGCATCTAAAATAGAGGGTATCCAAAAGTCGTTTGAGCTTTTCTTCTTTTACTGATATTTAGATTGAAAGAGACTAACCCTAGTGCTCCACAACTTGTCCATTCTTTTCTTGGATCGGCGCATGTGCCAGATGGCGACGTGGTGCGGGGGCAGTGCAACGGCAGCACACAACCAGACTGTGGGTCCTGAATGGGAGGAGGCTACAGCATTCAGGAACTGGTTCAAAGGGACAGTTTCACACCTTGGCATCCACAAGAATATAAGGAGACCGGCAAAAGCACCCAGACACACATGCAAGACTACAAGTTGCTGAACGGACTGAGATCGTTGCACCCGACTGAAAAACAAGACTGTGACATCATAAAAGTATCCAAGCACATCATTTTTTTATATCAAGAATAAATGAATCAATGAACGGATGATCGTTAACTTACAGCAGCATTCATACAAATTTCAATGAAAGCTCTAATCTGCGAGAGCTAATCAGTGGGCAGCCTAGAAGCCACATAGGAAACCTAACCCGGACAGCTTTTGTTCCACAGTTGAGATAGTTCTTCAGTGGATCACTACAGCGATTTGTATCTGGAAGTACAGTGGCCGTACCGGGTGTCGGATAGAACTCGGTGTGATCAGTTTTCGTGAAGCCAAAATGTCAAGGCACTGCATTCATGAGGATTTCAGAAGATTTCAGAGCCCATTTCTGCAAGAGATGAAAAGGACAGTAATATGTAAATGTCCATTTACAGGGACAGGAGGGGGGGGGGGCAAAAAAAGAGTCACTCCTACTCACATTCAAAACAGAATTAATTACACTTTGCCAAAACCAAACCGAATGAGCTCAATTGCATATTGAAGAGCACATTCTATTCTATCAAAAACATTGCATAGTGGCCTTCTACACCGACGACACCAGAAGATTTTCCCACGGAAACATGGTTCGCGGTACGAGCTCAACGGGGTCGTCGAGAAACCATAGATGATTACGACGTCTCTGAAACGCTGGTCAAAAGCCATTTTGCATAGTCAGAGCTAGTGTCTCTAAGAAGTCATTCACCAGTTATCCGATTGAAGAATTTATGTAGCAGCTTCAGAATGGAGCGATTATTGTAGGCCTCCTTAAGCTCGACGGTGATGACAGATGACGTCATATTCTGGAGACGGTGAACGCAGCGAAGGTGGGCCTGATTCTGCTTATGGGGGGACATCTAAGGAATAATTTGCCGTATAACTCCCAATAACAGCGGCATCCTTTGCGACGAAAAGTTTGATGATATGCGCCATAGGCAAAGTGACTCTTTTTTTTTTGCCCCCCCCCCCTGTATACATTGCGACTAATGTAACATTGCTGCGCGAACGATTGCCTAAGACTCAATGGTGGTGACACTTGTGTTTTGGCATATCAGCGATAAATATAAGATCATAATTTTTTTTTTTTCACGGGTGATCGACACACAGAGCACGATTACGTTTTTCCGTTCTAGCAAGGGCCAGACGGCCACCAAACGACTGCTGGTTCGCTTTATCAGACCCTTCGATAAAATTCTGTACAATGAAGAAAAAATAAATTTAGTCCATTCAGAGACGAGGAAGTTTTTAAAGCTCGACTCGCATCAGCAGGACTGGGTAAGGATTTGCATCGTCCTGCTCGGCGAAATTAAATTCTCATGAGCAACAGAAAATGTGTGGACTTGAGAGACACTACAATTCCTATTACAAATCAGGAGTGTGTTATGAATGTGGCGAACAGATCGCGATATAAGGAGCAGGAACATCATGGCTGGTTCAATGACACCGATGCTTGCAAAGTTTGAAGGAGGTTGATTCACCGCCAGAAAAGAAAATCAAACGTGAAGACCTTTGCAAAATGTATAGCCATTAGAACTACACCATTCAAAAAAAACCGCTTCCCAAAATAAATGTTGTAAAATACGACCTTGTTTTGCACAGGAGATATAGGACGCTGCACGTGGACTTTTGCAACGATATATGTAGGTGTGAATTGGGAGGACACTGTGAAGGGGAGATTACTCTGAAATACAATAAATGATGATAAGTTTGTACTACTCTGTTGAATTTTCCACATGTCCCTCGACGCGATATGGAAGCCGAGTGGCATCACCTCCTATGTTTCGCGAATTCCGTCGGCCATTGTTCTGCAGCACGCTATCTTTCCTAGCTTGTACGTGAGTTAATATGGCAAACGACAAGCACAAAGAACATACTAGACTGTTCCACATTACTGTTGTTTCTATCCACACGAACTGTAACCATAGATCGACCCCGAAGAACTAAATGTTTGAAGGCTTGGAAGGATTCGACATGCAACTCGACATTCCGGACGACTATTCGCACAGGTGAATGGCCCCAATTCTAACACACCACCCTCTCCAAATCACCACACAATCCTTAAAGCAACAGTCCCAGCAGGGTGGGCGTGGTCGGAAACGACTGCAATCCCCTCGGCCGATTCCGACCACGCCCACTTCAGCTCCCTCCCTAGCGGCTTTCCAAGGTGAGTTTTTGTTCAGTCACACTTCTTACGTTCTTGACTAGGGGCTGAACAGCTCCGAAGTGGGAATCGGCCGAGGGGATTGCAGCCGTTTCCGACCACGCCCACCCTGCTGGGACTGTTGCTTTAATTTCATTTTCCATAATGCCGCAGACATTATCAGAGCTCAAAAAGTGATAGTAGACTTCCAATAGAACAGACTCCTTGGTAGTGTCCCATCCACTTCACCTTGAAGGCATTGGATGAGATAATTAAGCGATTAATGAGAGAAAATGAGCCTGTTATCAAAGGAATTGCCCATCTAATGCCTAAGCAGTCCATACATGAGGCGCTTAGCACTGGAAGGGGCGCTCCAGACGACCCTATTTTGCATAGATCGTGCTTTCGCCAACATTCCATCGGCTACCCTCCCCCTCCCGCCCATGATCTCTTCCGTCAAAGCTTCAGCTCCTTTAGCAGAAGACAGAGCAGTGTGCTCATTGACGTCAGTACATGTTGAATTTTGTGGAGCACAAAAATCAAGGGGCAAGAAGGCCTTCACTTGACGAGTTTTGAGCAGTTTCTCTTGTTTTTCCTCCACTACAAGCCCAACTGAGCACCTCAACTTTCATTTTCGATTACTAAAAAACTTAGCGTATCCACTGCCTTTGAGATATGAACTAACCGTGAGTGGAGAGGATCGTTGCCGTTTTCTAGCACGTACGGGATGCGGCAAAAGCACCCAGACACACAACTCTCGTGACATCTGCAATAAAAGCGGTTCCTACAACAATAATACGAAAGTACGAATTAGTACTCAACCTGGGAGCATTTCGAGTTGAACAACTGATCGGACAGGCTGAACCACAGCTGTGGTACTGCCGGCGCTCGTCTAAACATCTCGTTGAGCTGTCGTACATCGCGCAAGCTGCACGTGGAACGCACGCCGAACGTGGAGATCCGTCAGCACGAATGAAACCTTCAAACAACGCTCTTACAGATTTACTACTGCGGAACCTCCGCAAATTTGGAAAAAATACATTTATGTATGTAGCGCCCAATAGTTGCATATGAAGGCTTTTTCGTTCATTGAATGTGTTTAGACCTATGCAAGAAAGTGGGATCATAGAAATGCAAAAATTTGTTATAAGTGGAGGGCGAACCACAAGCCACTGTTCCCACATTTTTTGACTTTCTCAAAGACGCTCGGAAAAAATGATCTTCATTTTGTTCCACGTGCTTGTCCCTGAAAAATGCAAACAACCGTTTTGAAGAAGCGCTCCATGTCCTCAAAGACTTTCCTAGTAAGGGCTGAGGTTCGTTGCGCTAACTTGGATAGGTACATATACCACTAGAAATCCACTGAATCCACGCAAGAAAAGCAGCCGAACACTGAATGAGCTTGCTAGATGAGCAGATACTGAAAAATCTCTTCATACGGCATAGAAAATGGAGATGAGCAATGGTTAGGTATACAGTAAAATTGATGTGAGCGACACGACCGATTCCTGCAGATAGCGTGCCCCTATGTACGTGAACGAGGTTTTCTTCAAAATCCACGGCTCGGTTGCGAGAAGGCCCGGAGGTCGGGGAAAATGTGGATCGAGATCGGAGGAGGAGAGAAGGTCAAATGGTATTATTTATAGGTGCTGTGTGAACGGGGTTCGCCATGGGACCTTATGACTCGATTCTAAGACAGCCCACAGGTAGGGAAGAAGTGAATTACATCTGCCGTAGGAAAACAGTTTAAGCGCTACTAGTTGGTCAAGCGAGCACCGAAGGGGTCGAAGCCAGGAGTGAAAATTCACAATTCGATTGTTAGGTTACCCGCAGGGCGGGGGAGGGGAGAACAGAGTGGTAGGTGAAGGGAGGTAGAGGTGGAGAGAGAGCAATGTTCATGGTGTGCAAAGCTATATTCGAGAGCTTTAGGCTGTTTTCTTGCTTTTTGTTGCTTGTTTTTTTTTCTCTCTCCCAACATGGGTTATACCCAAGTAATAAACAAGTACAACAAGCTTCCATTACCCTGTTCCAAATCGCTGGGGGATCGCGGCTGGAGCTTGCCTGTTAGGAATATGACTAAGGTGGGTTGGAGGATATGGACAGAAACGAGTCAGAACTTTTTGCAAATAAGTGCCCATTTTATGAATCTTATTCTTGTTGCTTAACTATTCCCCTTCCCCTCGTCTAGCTGTGAGTGCGCTGGAACCAGTCCACACAACTTGACGGGCATCAAACTTGTGGCAATTACTTCATGCGTACAACAAGTTCACCTGCTCATATGTCAAAATACTCACTGACAGCATAACTGCAGAAGGCTGGCCAAATCAGCCCGATCATTCATAGCAAAACCAGCTAGGCAGTGTGAAAATGTTCTACTTTAATATTCAGCAATTCGAATTCAAAGTTGATTAGGCCTCACTATATCACTACAATGGACTACGATCACCTGTGCCACGCTTTCCAGCCTATCAAGTAGGCCTCTCAAGAACTCACCAGGCTGACAGTGACAACCGGGTACGCAGGTGGGTGGTGGACACGGCGCCAAAGTGGGATCATCGCACGACGGCTGACACGGAGTGTGGCAGGCGGAGAATTGCTCATTTACGCCACAAATGAGCGTCATTGGTTGTATTGGTGAGACTGCAAGCGAAAAAATTGTAGAATTTTCATTAGTACTTCGTGAAAATATTTTGAGATTATTGGAGAACGACGGACAGTTAGATGAGAACAAAAAAAGGAAAGCAGTGGAAAAGCGTAGCGGTTAGTAAGTCGGTTAGTACCAGGGGCAAGACAAATGAGCCCTCTCGAGTGCTCGCAGCACTTCCACGTTTTTGGACAGTCCGAGTCACAAAGGCACGGCATGACGACGCTAACGTTTCCAGATGAAGAAGGCGGGCAGTCTCCATCTCGGTATTCGTCACAAACCTGGAACACATGCATATCTTGGGATACAATCTATTTCATTTGATCTCGGTTTTATTTCCGCGCTAAAGTACAATCTACACGGGGGAGTCACCCAGTCCCTCCACATTTCAAAAAGGAATTAATTACACTTTGGTGAACTAAAATTAAATGGTCCCAACTGAGTATTAAAGAGCACATTCAATCTATTGTCACATAACAGCCTTCTACACCGACGACATCAGAAGATTTTCCCACGGAAACATGGTGCACGGTACGAGCTCAACGAGGTCCTCGACGGAACGTGGACTATATCTAAAACGCTGGTTGGAAGGGGTCTCGCATATACAGAGCTACTGTCTCTAGAGAACTATCCATCAGCCAACTGATTCTATAATTGTGTAGCAACTTCAGGCTGGAGCGATTACGCTCGATGATGATGGCAGAATCAAACAACCTGCAGACTGAACGTCATATTCTGAAGCCGTAAGGAGGAGTTATAAGCTCGTTTCTGTTTTGTAGATCGAATCAGGGAGTATTTTGCGTGAACCTTTCACGCAAGGGCGGCACCTCTGTGTGACTAAAAAAATGGTTGTGCGCTTGTTTTTTGGTCCCCCTCCTCAGTATAAAGATTGTAGTAATAGGAAGATGGCTCCCATGACATACACCAATGAACCTGAAATGCGAAGAAAGATTGAACGCCAAATGTGGCTCCGAATACGCGGAACAGTCCAAAAGAAAGCCAAGCTGTACTATAGAAAATGTGGACCCCTTACTGAAACATGGTGAGTGAGCCCCTTAATCTCGGGTATTATGCCAATAGTGAACACCCCAGCACGCCACCACGCTAGTCAAAAACAATACTTTTCCACGCATAAGTTCATCTCGGAGTTTTACGGCTTTAAGCGCCAGATTCTCCTGCTTTCTGCGACGTGTTTCGCAGTCCATTCCTCCTCCCGCAAATCGGCGTCCCAGTGGCGTGACGCACCAGCAAGCTTCTGTCCCGGCAAGGCATTGCCTGCAAAAGATTATGTAATTTCCTTTTACAAGGTTCACCGCTGAACAAAATGTACCATTTCTGAGGCGAAAAACACCCAAACATTAAATATTCACAAAGAATTGGGAATGGAACAATACACGTGGCAGAAAGACCCCTAAGACCCCGTCTCAGTAAATGATTCAAAATCATTAGAATAGACTGATAAAGCACTCTGGGATCCTTCTATCTTCAGAAAAGTGCTTCAATCAAAGATGTTTTCTTACCGCTTTCTGTACCATCTTCCGTCGGGCTCGCACTGAGGTATGGCCGAGCCTAGTAGCTCACTCTGAGCAGATTCGTCAAGAAATATTCTTCGTCGCCGTGCACAGGCTGCAATATAAACTGCCTTGTAAATAAGTTATTTCGACAAGTATGTGAATGGCAATCCATGAAAAAAATTGGGAAAATAGGTTATAGTAGTGAGCTCTGTAGAAGGAAAGACACGACTTCTTAATCTCAAGCAGAGTGCCAAAGAATGTTTCCGGCTAGTTTACCACCGAATGCGCCATGCACTCCTGCGAAAGGGTACTATCAAATATTACCATGAAGATGATCAGTTGTGGGCAAAACACATCGCTTCAAGAGAGGATTTGCTTTATCAGAATTTCTCAATGGGATAAAGCTTTCGCTCGCGTTGAAGGAATCCTGCCTGGGTCAGTTGTGATCACTAGAGACAACATACAGGGTTTCATGCCAATCAAACGGCATGTTGGAGGAATGACATTAAGGCGCTCGACTTTGGAGAATAGGGGCAAAACGATCGATAGAATAGGATGCAGTAGAAGTGTGAAATGTCATGCATGGTGGAAAAGGCCAAAAGAGTTCCTAGTGAAGGCACTCCGAGAACCAAGTGGAAGCGTTCCCGTCGCCAGCATTTGTGACAGATGTACGGCGGGAATTTGAACGCGTAACAGTCCTTCCGTTTTTTCGAATTGTTTACCAAAACAAACAATTTTTTGTTCTTTTCGTTCTTATCGTGAATGATGGTCTCAAGCCAGTGATCATGAGTGAGATGGAGCCATGACTTCTTCCAGGAAGGATTTCTTTAAATTTTGAATGCGATTCAAAAAAGAAATGTTCAGTGATTTTCTGAGTCCGATAGAGGAAGGTTGAAGAAGGATCAACAACAGATGCTACCGCTATCACGTGCACGGTCAGGGAATCAAACCTGACCGAATCGCAGGTCAAAAAGCCTCATTTAAAGGAGGAATTCACGATTAGAATGAAGGTCGAAGAAAAGGAATGACCTAGTTGAGGGACCCACGGACCTCCTGAGGGTGCGAACTGACGCGCAATTCGCATGAAAAATTTGACCTCGGCGACCTATCATGCCTCAAAGTTGGCGGGTCCGGCGATCTCCGCCCACCGATCATCTGATCACTCGCCGTAGTTCAATACGTGGCGAGTGATTAGATAGCTGAGAGAGCGTAGTGTTGAAGAGGGCACAGCGATGAGAGTCGCATCAATGCTCAAATCAACGGGCAAGGAAGGGGTCCCATTTCTCGGGTTCTGGGCCGTTTCTCATGGTTCTTCCTTCTTTCGTGTACCACTCACCATCCCTAGGTTAATTTGAAATGGGTTGCTTTTTCATCGTGAATTCGTCCTTTAATGAGCTATGCCACATATACTCGTTTGGGAGGATAAAACACAGTTATACGTAGGGCTACTCGCGCAAAGCACCGTAAGCCTTTTAGTATGTTCAGCAAGTATGCATTCAATTTTCGCGGTTCCTTCCCATAAAAATAGCAAAAATGATAAATTAGAGCGATGGAAGGGCAATGGCCGAAGTAGTTACTTCTATAACCTCTTGAAAATGTGTTCTTAGGCCTAAATATTTTTGTGGGGAGGAAAGAACTCAGTCCAGCTTGAACTACTCCACCCATTGTGCATGATGAAACACCGAAGTGGAGAGACGCGAAAGCGGTACTTCTTAAGGTCCGAAAATAAATTGAAGTTCATCATATCACTTAAGAAAAAAACCAAGTTCACGCAGCGTTTCAGTGAACTCGCATAATTTCATTCGTTTACCCTCCCTTAAAATATGTAGCCGACAGTTCTTCACTTAGACGAAGTACTTTGATCAACTAAGCAAAGGTCACATTCCTGACGAGCGCCCTTTCGATGTGAAAAGGTCTCGGCTCCTTGAAACATGACTTTTTATGACGCCGATGAGGTTTCCTGTTTTTCAAGGCGAATAGAGGCTCACAGCCTCGCTGATAAGCAGCGCAAAACGATGTCACGATAAGGCTGAAAGTGGCTGCGGTGATTCGCGCCCTCATAGCGTGAAAAATGCCCGATTTCCCGGATTAGAGGGCCATTGGCCGTGCCAAGGACAAAATACGCCGAATCACAAGAGCCACCTGACCTCACAATAGGGTGATTCAGTTCATATGCACAAATACGTTCGCAGTCTGTGGTTGTGGAAAAACACTTGATCCAAGTTGCTGATTTTGCAATTTTCAACAGTGAAAGTAGTTCAAGATGCATAGTATGAAAAAAGACTCCTCCTTGTGTGCTTTGTCATTATTGTATTATTTTATTATTTATCAAGCCTAGAACCGCAAAATGAAAGCTGTTTAAGAATTGCTGAGCTACCGTTCAGATCGTTCACCCAAACAGTTGCATAATATCAGGTGTAAAGCATTGTGATCAAAGCAACGAGCCGTTGGTTCTTGCCCATCAAAAAATGCCCCACACCTGCATCAGCGGAAGTACGGGTGAAATCACTGCAGCGAGCCCACACATCCCAAATGGGAGAGAGCTCTGCATAAGCTAGTGCGCTTCATTTGCAACGGATGAAATCAGAAAATCCCATTCAACCGACATGATGCTTCAAAATTCCTTAGCAATACCCGCAAAGAAGTTTTTAATTTCAAACTGAACATAAGGTTCGCCCTAAAAGGGACATAAAGTAACACCACACTTCCTCTCTCCATGTAAAATGTGTTCAGGAATCTCCTCCAGTTCTTAACAACCTTAAAGTAAGAGACGAAAGACATTTTAAGATGAGAATGGAATGACTTAGCGAACAACTCTAGAAGAACTTTCCTGAAGAGCATCATAGAATTTCCTACACTTCCCTACAAGAATTAAATGTCCAGATTACTGGCCAACTCGTGGTAATTATTCAAAAAATTACACTTATAATGAAAATGCAAAATTTTGTATGCCGCAACCACTGATCCTTTGCTGTGGACCACACTAACATTCTGGATTTAGGGCCGTATGCTATCCTTCCCCGGAGCTAGGTGACCCAAAGTTTCCTTTAAATTCATTTGCTTTGAACGATGTAGTTTCTTCATTTTCAATGCATGTTTGCTTTACCTACATGCATACATTGAATGTAGGCCTTTTATCAGGGTAATCTCCCAGTTGGGGAAGACAGAGAAAATTTAAAGGAATTTCGGTCTCCTAACCCTTCGGGGAGGAGGATAGCATACACGGCCCCTTAGTTGTAAATCCGCCATAGACATACATATAAACTCGATTGTAGCTCCGCCTGATTTTTGATTCGCACGAAAGTTCTTCAAATACCATACTTTAAGTCGAAAAAGAAGTAGCATGAATCGAGTCGCTTGGGGCGATGGAGCGATATTAAGCAAATCCCCATTATTACCAGCGCTTACCATCGTCAACAATTTGCTCAGGACGATGGTTCGATCAGTGTTTGAGAGAGTTAGGCGTTGTAGTGACTATTGACGGCGCCCCAGTTTGCCCGTTGTTCCAATACGCATTTGTACGAAGATGCCTCTACAATCTTGAACTTTGATCCCTTAGCTCGTCATGTAGAACGTCTATCAAAATGAAGGAAGACAGCACGGCGAGGATTCTGCTTTGCAGCTAATCACTGTGTAACATGGGCTGAACAAACCTAGAGGGACAGCGAGAACTAGTCAATTCTTCGTAGCTGTCAGTACATACAACCCCAACATCCATTCATTCCATAACCATCATGCCTCTCATGGAATACCACTTGTCAGCATGTGAACAGCGCTCCCGTACCCGCGCGGACAAGGTGGGCGATTCGTCAAGCGTTATTGCATGACGGTATTCTCAGGGATGTATCAATGGCGCCGCTGTTTGCGCAATGGTTTGCATGGCTATTAAACGCTTACGAAAGTGGTCGAAGGATTAGGCGAAGAGAGAACCTGTATCTTTCCGAAGACTGACACGAGGAAACGTACAAAACTCAGACGAGAAGAAATGGCGACGAATCACAAAGGTCGATGAGATGATGGAAATCGTATTGAAAGGAAGAACGAGAAAGAAAATAATCACGTACGTGTGAAGAGATTCAGAGCGAAGTATCACGAGTTCAAAAAAGTTTTTAGAGGGCTTGCAGACAAGCTCAATAAGTTAGACTGCTGTCACTCAATAGCTTGCTTTCTTCATGTTCTAATAACTTTGCAGGTTTCTCTAAAATAATATCGAAGGGTGAGAAGGAGACGATTCCAAGCTGACGTATGCGGAGTTATTACAGTCAAATTCAGATAGTGATAAGATCTTTTTCTGATGTTCAGTTTTCTCGCGAACGTCAGCGCTTGACGACGTGACGAGCGGATGATGGCAGTGTTGTTTGACAAGAAAGTGAGAAAGCCAAAACTTGCTCAAATGAAAGGTCTCATCATTTTTTGATAGCCCGGAAAAATGTTGCTTCCAACTGGAAATGTCAGGTCCGAGTAGGATCATTCCAGACCATTCAATTTTCTCTTTACTTGTACAAGCTAATTATTAGTAATTCTCAGGTAAAAGGTACTTTGAGTGTACAGCTGTACCACAATATCCTTCCACTGAACGCTCATATCCTAGCGCAATTTCACTCCATCTATGCTCTATAGTACTTGTATAGGCTCTGTAGTTCACCCTAGAGCGTAATACGGCACCTATTCCACAACGACAGTCTTTTGACACTTTTGTGACACCTGGGTGCGCTCCGTCAGAGTTGGGTGGACACCGTGAGCCCCGTAGATGTAGTAGGGTCGATGAAGGGTGTCTGGACTTGAGTGCAAGCGTATTATGGAAGAATAGCCTTTACCCCTGAGTTCGTCATCACCTTTAAGAGAAGCAACATCTTTCGGACGATTTTGGCTTTTCTCACAGTTCCAGAAAGATTTCGCTCAGAGCTAGCCAATAAATTGTCCATTCCCATTCTAACTCAAACACAAAGGAAGAATAAAGAGACCACTCAGTAACAAATGCGACACAAGAAAATAGAAAGGAAAAAACGAGAGAGAAAACTACTATGATTAATTAATTAAATGTTGTAAAAGACTGATACTTTGAGACTTCGGACACACTGAAATGTCTCTGAAAACAGCTGCGAATCGA